CAAATATCTTGATACTTTTTACTTGAATCTCAGAAAGAATTTCTATCTTTTTTGTTACTATTTACAATATCACAGACAAATCCTGTTTGATAAATCTTTTATTTAAGCAAGCACTGAATTGAAACATTTCAAACTAGAATGGTTAGATTCTGGAATTTGCTGGTATAGTTTTTTGATTAGAGAAGGTCAGACAGTTACTGCAGTCCTAAAAATAAGATTCTGGAATTTTTTTTCTTATTCAGTTCAAGATAGATATGTGGATATAAATTGTATAACTATACCAAAGGTCTTTCTTCTTGCAATTCTTATGATAGATCTATTTTAGCCTAGTGATTAATGGGAAGGCTATAAGTCCCATCCTTGTGCAACCTGATTATTTTCACAAGATTCTTGTGTGGTATTGAACTCTGAACCTTATAATTATAATCTAGAAGTACTATTATGTTGCTATAGACCCACAGGTTTTTTAGAAAAATATTATATGCTGAATAATTACAATATTAATTATAATTACTTATAATTAAAGAATTTGTTGAAATATTTAGATAAATATTTAAAATTAATTTAAGTATTCTAGCTAACTTGTAAATGATATTATAATAATTTATATTTCTATAATATAATATTACCAGAAGATTTATTAAATTGGATATATATTTTGAAATAAATTTTGTGATGTAAACAAGAAAAAGAGATAAAAAAAGATAATAAATAATCAATAGTTAAATTCAAAAAATGAAAAATTATTCAATATATGAAATTAGTAATATATTTAGAGAGTAAGAAACAAACTAAGAAAAGTGCATAAATGGGTGAAATTTAGAAGCAATGAAGAAGTTAGAAGTAAAAAGAAACAATATTAAAAAATATTCAATAAAATAAATCCAATTGGAGCTAGTTATAAAAAAGTCAAGCTGAAATCTTTAAAGAAAAAAGAAAAGCAAATAAAAGAAAAGAAAGAGGAAAAGGAAAGTAACCAATAATTTAATCAATTGATTTTATAATTTTTTTTAATTTTTTAATAAATTTTATGAAGTTTGTTAAACTTTTTAAATATTTATCCAATTTTAATACTTAATTTATAACTTTTGCTAAATTTTTTACTACTGTATGCAATTTTTTTTACTGAATTTTTTGTTATGGTAATTTTTTTGTCACAGTATCAATTTTTTTGTTGAATTTTTACAAAAATTATTTTTTGGCACAATATTATTAAATTTTGTGTTGAATTTTTTGTTAATTTTTTATTTATATTTTTTAATGCTAAGAACAATAATCAAAAATGATTTGTTAATGTTTTAACTATCAAATAATATAATTTTAACTAGTGTAATAAGAAAAAGCAATACAGATAATATAGAAATAAAACACTTCAACTGTTGAGTAGCTGAAGAATTCTAATAAGCAACAATTCTAATAAAATGCCTCAGGTATTCAGAAAATATTAAGAAAAATAATCATTAATAATAATAAAAAAAAGGGACAGAATATATGTAGTCCTATATTTCAATACTTGAAAATTTATTAAGAGAGCCTAGATACTAAAGATTATAAGAAATAAGATAATTATGGAAAAAAAATACATGAATTAATAAAAGAGAATCAAGAACAAATTCAGGCTAACAAAGTAGTGAATATAAAAATAAAAAGCTAGGAAGAAAAATTATTAAAAAAAATATAAAAAAGATATATATTAATCCTATTTGATAGAAATACTTTAGCAAAATCAGAAGTCAAATGAAGTATAGACTTCTATTCTGATAAATCACTGACTGATCATGGAAATGAAGAAATAAAAATGGGAGTAATATAGATTTAAATAGAAGAAATAGAAAAAAAAAAGCAAATTTTAAGCAAGAATAGGAAACTTATCATATTAATAAAAATAAAAATAATAGTAATAATTCTTATATTGTTATTTGTTTTTATTAAAAGCAAAGTCAAAATTTAAATAGATAACTAAGCATTTATCTTCAAATAGATGAAGCTGAAAAAAAAAGATCTTAAAAAAATACATAAAAGGTAATTAAAAGAAAAAAACTGATTTCTATAAATATAAATATTAGATCTTATGGAAAAAAATACTTGAACCTAAAGCTAATCAAGGTTAAGGTCTATTTCAATAATAAATATAATAAAAAAGTTGATATTATGGTCAAAAAAATTCTTCAACTTTCTATAATAGAATAAAAGAATTTTATATTATACAAAATTATTATAAAAATTAAATAACAAAGTATAATACTAAATGTTTCAATAAAACAATTTATCAAAAAAGTAAATAGCAAAATAATAGTTTATTCATGGATATAATAGAATAAAATTCAGAAAAAATAAAGTTAGCAAATATAAGATTAGCATAAATATATATAAAACCTTATTTGAAATAGAATAAAATATAAATATATATGGAATACTTTCTTCAAAAACTTTTATAAAAAAACTTTTTCATGAAATTAACAAATAATAAGTTAACAATATTGATAAACTTAGCAATAAGAAAATCAGATCTTTATAAAACAATAATATATATAGAATATAACTAAGGTACAAAAATGATAAATACTTTATCAGAATGCTTAATATATAAAAAGCAATTATAAAAAGTTTAAGAAGAATTATTAGAAAATGTATTGAAGAAATTTAAGAAACTTTTTCAAGAAAAAAAAAAGAAAATGAAAAAAAATGATAGTTAATTATAAAAAATATAAAAAATATAAAAAAACTAAATAAATTAACCTTCAAACTTATAGAAGTTTTTAAAAGTTATTATAAGATATTACACTTTTATACAGGACTTATAAAGAGTAACTAGCTTATCAAAATAGATAATTTCAAATATTGTGATAATAAAATAGAATAAAAAACTTGTTGATAGATTACAAAAATATAAATGAAGATTTGTAACCATATCTAAGAGAGATTTGAAATAAAAAATATAAAATAATAATTGAATAGAAATAGTCGTAAGAAATTAATAGAAAGAATAAAATAAGAAGATTAGATTAAAAGTTCACAAAATCTAAATCAAGATTAAGAAATTATCAATTCCTGAAAAAGAAAGATTGGATAACAAGAATTTAAAGCAGATTTTAACAAAAGAAATTGAATATAAAATGAAATAGTTAGAATTTTGATTTTTGTCAGAGCTTTACAAAGTAATTTGTGGTGATAATTTGTAAACAATAATATTAATAATAGGAAGAATATTCATCTGAACTATTAATGAAATAATAAATTACTCCTGAAGTTGCACTTAGAGTAACAATAGTCAAAATAAGTGAGTTAAAGATTTAGCTTTAGCATCATCTTGATATATAAAGTTTATAAAATATTTAATGAAGTATACAGTATATAACTGAATTGATAGAGGAAAAAAAAAATAAAAAAAAAATAAATCATTATAATTTTTTTAATTAATTAATTTTTTTGTTATACAGTATATTAAATTTTTTTGAAAAACAATTTATAAGTATTTAAAAAAATTTATATAACTATTATTTATATTAGTTATAATAAAATAATTTTTAAAATTTATTAAGAAAAGTTTTTATAATAAAAAAAATTTTTTTTTTGACTTTAAATATAAATTAAAATTTATTTTATTAATTGTTAATAAATAATTATTAATTAAAGTTATTTATAATATATTAAAAATATAAGTAAAAAATGTAGTTTAATTATTTTTAAGATAGATTTTTATAGTACTTATGGTTGTTTTTAAAGGTTTTAGTTCATTTACTATGAATTTATTATAAAATTTTTATAGTACTTATGGTTGTTTTTAAAGGTTTTAGTTCATTTACTATGAATTTATTATAAAATTTAACTTTATCGATTTTAAATCCTTGATTATATAATCAAAAATTGTAAAATTCATATATATTATGCTTTAATAATATCTTTATTTCTTATATTTTTTCAAAAATTTTGCATAGTAATTTTTAAAGTTATATTATCATTAATCTATAAAATTAATGTAAAAATAATTCCCTTTTAATATTAAAAATTCTATTATTTCAACTAAAAAACATTTTGAATTTAAATAAAAAAACTTTTTTTTGGGCACCATTCTGAAATTCTATAAATTCAACAAATTTTTAATAAATGATGCGGAAATTTTATGTTACTAACTCGTTTTATTTTTTATTGTCGTAGAAATCGAGTCAATTATTTTAAGTATTGTACCATGTCGCAGCATCAGCTTTACCCAACTAGATTCGTTCCGGAGTTTTTATAGTTTTTATACAGTATTCCAGGCTATTATTGATTATAATTAAAAGTTTTTAATTGCATCTTGTATAATGTAGTTTATTGTTCATATACCAATTCGAATCTTTATATATTTATCTATTTGTCGATCTCTCAAATCATCTATGGATCAAACTCAATAAACTTGAACCACTTTACGTAATTATATAATGCAATTTTACGGAAATGAACACATTTTTTTCGGGTATACAATACCATTATGAAATGCTGTCGAAATTTTTTGAATTTTTCTATTTTCTAGAATATTGAACCATTATCATCTCTTTCTTTTAAATAACCGGAGCTTTTAATGCAGTTGCCCGATAGTCTAAGAATCGGAAAACCTCATTAAACGATTCAAAAGATTTTATTCTAATTAAACAAGGTAACTATCTTTGTTAATATACACGCAAGTGGGCGCGATTTAATAACAATTATTGTTGAAAAATCCTTGTGGTGCGAAACAAAAGCTGATCTGCATTTGTTGTGCATTCTGTCTGGAAGGTTTAATCTTAAAAAAGCACTTAGGGAAACAATCGGCAAGCATTAATATTTTTAACAAGCCACATATTTTCTATTTTTGAACATGAAGTATTTTCCGTTAAAAGAAATAAGTTCAAATAAGCCTCCATAAACAATTGCCTATATATACAGTAAGGATATTTCACGTTAAGTAATTTTATCGTTCCATCTCCATCGAAGAAAAAATTTACTTAATATTCATTGACGCGTTTTTATTCGTTACCAATATGTGCATTACGATTGAGGAAAAAGATATCTCGATTCTTTTAGCAAATAACGCAGGAAGGCCTTCAACTGCTCTTGTAAAACTATTAAAAACATTGAACATAGAAAATAACAAATCATTTAAAAACATTCTCGACATGATGCAAAAAAATTGGATCAGGGGGCAAGATAAAGAACGCTGGCAAATAGAAGACAAGTATCAAGATAAAAAGGACGTGTTGATTCCTTTATTTGAGCAATTACGACTGTTAAGTGATATAAAGAGCACACAATTCCATTACACATATGCCCTCATATTAGGAGGATTGTTACCGGCGGTTCGTAAGCGCATGGCTTTTTTAACATATGAATGGAAGAGAGGTGTTCGATTTGATGAAATAATTCTTCTCGGATCATCCCGACCGTTATTGCCCGATAGAGAATCGCCAGAAATTCTAAAAGATAAAAATGATTCGGATCTTCCGGCTCGTCCAGATTGGGAGTTTGATGGAAATTTACCGACAAATGAGATAGAGATGATGGAATTCGTATTTAAACAAGCACAAATTCCTGAAGATTTAAGAAAGACGAAGATAGTTTCTATTAATTCTCCAAACATACGAGATAAGAACGGAAATGAAAGACGCGCCGGGACTGCAGACACTTTTAACGCTTGGATAAACGAAACTAAACCAGTTTCTGGGTCTTCTCTAATAATTTCTTCCCAACCTTTCGTTGGTTATCAACATGAAGTTGCTCTTCTACATCTTCCGCCAACATTCCAGTTAGAAACAGTTGGTCCAGGTTTTACGAATTTTCAAAACATAAAAGTGGGGGTGATCCTTGATAACATAGCGCGTTGGGCTTATAATGTAAATCAACGCCTAGAAAAAGCCATTAAAAATAATGGGGCCAAAGAAGCATAATAAACACATGATATCTTAAGGAAAAAACATAAATATTTCCGTTTTCTTTTTTGTATATTTTGAAACACATTATTTTAAGTCGATTTTGTTTTTATTATGATTAAAGAATTTACTAAATAACTTTTAATAAAATTTATGCTAATGTGTTCACTAAGGTCTGAATTTTTTATTAATACTATTAATATTTTGTTGAATTTCCATTACTATCTATTACAGCCTGAATTTTTTCTGGTATACTTTTTTTTTTTTTTAACCTGCAATCATGTCACTTTGGCATGTCTATATTGAGATATTAAAAGATACCAAAATATTTTACAGACTTTCACAAAGCAATTAACTTATCATTGTACATTATTAGTTGAAGAACTATACTACTTAAAAAATATAAGGAGTCCACTAAGCTAGTTCCAATTAAACAAAACCAAGTCTAAACTAGGTACTCTAGGTCAGATTGAGAGAACAATATTATGCTCTCCTAGTAGCTTGACATAGTGCCTCTAAGTTAACCAGGGTTATTGCCAACAGTTTGTCACTATTGATTATTCCAAAAAATGATAAATTGCTAAAGTATGGCACTAGTAAAGAGAAAAAAATAATAATAATCCAAAGCCCTTCAAAAGGTTCTTGTTTCATTTCACAGTTTCTTCTTAAAAGGGGTTTGCCTGATTAAGATATTCTTTAAACTTTATAATATTTGAGAATTTAACTATTCCTAAGAGTGACTTCAAAAAACATATGAAAAACTTATTCTTTTGCTGATATATGGATTTACTTAATGCTACTAAAACTAGCACCATATTATAGAAGAGTTTGCTTGACTGGAATAAAAACTTGGAGATCCCAGCTTTTGTCCAAAAAAGTCTTTACACCACTTGAGAAGCTTAATAAAAGATGGAAGTTAAACTTGTTTACCTACCTGTTACTTACCTTTCAGTATTATAATTATTTTCTGGAAGTTGAATATACACAGTTGAAGAGGATACTTTTTTTAGAACTTTCTTTTCTATATCATTAATAATATAATAAAATACAGTATGTGAATATAACCAATAGAAGCTTGTTTACATTTCAAAAACTGACATATTTCATGTTAGCCAATCATCTTTAATAAGGATTTGTGCTATCTAAAATTCAAGATTAAACTGAGGTAGATAAAATTCTTCAGAAAACCATAAAAGTAGAAACTTAAAAGGGCTAAAACAGTTTAAAAAAAAATAAACTTTTTGATTGCAATAAACCCTTATAAATCTCTTATTTTAAAGATTAGAAAAGTCTTCAGATACTTCACAATTTTTTTTTAACTGACTCAGCCTTGTTTTATTATTGTTTTTAAATTACATTTATACAAAGTAGCTAGTGCTATAGTACAGGAATGTAGCTTTAGTAATAATAAAACTCAATAAGCTATAAACTATCTTGTGACTTGTTGTCTTTTTCTCAGGGAAAAGAAAACTAATATGTTAAGATCATATTAGTTATTGGGTGGAATTATAAAAGTATGAAAATATTAGTGTTGTACTTTATATATTCATTATATAGCTGTTAACCATCCTGGTCAGATTCATATTTTAGTCTTGTACTGTTGATCCTTGTAAGTTCTTCTGATCTTGTTGTTACTTGTCTTAGATATATTTGATTCATTTTATTATCTTGTTTATTAGTAATCTTTAGGCTTGTATATGTGATTTTTCACAGTGTGTTTTTCAAATACTATATAGGAGCTCTTTTATTTACTCATTGTATTGATAATCAACTTGTGATTGCTTTGTTATTATTTATTATTCTATTGAGTATCACTGGAATTTCTTTTGTGAATGCTTCTCTAATGAGTAGCTTAAAGGTCCTAGATATATTTAGATGAATGTACTGTTGTACAAGGTTCTTGAAATTTTTTCTGTATTTCTTGCAGATGTGTAGTAATATATATTTTATCAGTATTTTGTAAAAGTTTTCTTTGGGACATTCTTTTGATTGTTGCATAAGAAAAGATGCATAATGTCTTCTAATTCTTTGCATTTATGATATTTGCTATCTTTGTAAGTCAATAGGTATCTGCTGTACAGTTTTCTTCTAGTTAGTAATTCTTTGTATCACAGGTTAAAGCTAAGCTTCCTTAAGTGATAGTTCTTATTTGAAGTTGACTGTTCTTCTATATTGAAAGAATATAAACTATCAAATGTGTATTGCCAATATATGTCTCTGAAGTCTTCCTCTGTGAAACTATTTTGAATTCTATTAAGCAGTCACCATTTGGCAAGTCTTATAGCTCTATTAATCTGTTTTGTCATGTCTTTCCCTAATATATTTATTGGTATTTGATTCTATTCGATCTAATCAGAAGTGATCTCTGATAGTATTCTTTAATATTAATAATTCTCTGGTTGGGTTTTATGCCTTATAATATGGGATTAATTTTGGACAGTTTGATTGTTTTCTTATTGAGAAGAATGCCTGTGTATACCTTAACCTTATGGAGAGTTATGACTAGACTTTGTTGTTTCTTTATATATCTATATATGTCTAGAATTCTTTGATTCTAGAATTGTTTCTTTCTTACCTATGTTTATCTATGTGTCTGTTATGTTGATTATTGCATTAAGACTGTTAATATATAGTTGAACTATAGTATTTTTACTTAGGATACTGATCACTGTTACTATGGCCATGGTCTCTACTCTTGTTGATAAGGCAATGCAACTGTGTTTGGCCTTAAAAATATGTTTTTTGCTATCTTTATTCTTAATAATTCAACCAAAGCCCATGTATAGTTTGCTGCCATAATTAAATATTGATCTATCTATATATATTATTATCTGTTAGTGACCTTTTATCTAGTACTATATATAAAGATGGGTCCTTAAAGAGGGAGACAAAGACAAAAATCAAAAGTTCCTCACTAGAAAACATTAAAAATTTTAAATTAATAACTATAAAAAAACTATACACAATTGTTCTCCATTATTCAAATCATTGATTTATAGCATTTTCTGATCTTTGTTCCTATTGAAAATTGAAATAAAGAGTTATGAATTTTGTTCCTCAAAAAGAAACATAAATAATCTGTGAAATTTTATATACTAAATACTTTAGGGACCTATTATTAGTTGTATGGCTCTTAGTTCTTTCAGTTCTGAATCTTTTAGGCTGAAAGTTCTGTTAATATCCATTAGGTCTAGTTATTGATTATTAATCTATATCTAAGGGCCTGGGATATTTTTCTGTAGAGGTTCTATTAGGTTTTTCAACTCCTTTGTTATGGATATAAGTAATGTTCTATATCTTAATTTAATTGTAAGTTTCTTCGCATTTCTCTTGGATAATATATTCGATTTCTCTACTAGGATCTAAATTGTGCATTGCTTTCACGCTGTATATGCATGGGATTCTGGTGGTATATCTCTTTCTCTTATTGTGCATTCCTTGCATTTTTCTAGTAGGAATAGCCCTGCGGTTTTTGTGTGTATGTATAGACAACTGAGTTAGAGTTGATATTTTATTTTTTCTTGTCTATGATTTCTGCCTAATGTTTGAGTGTCATACTCTAGTGTGCTTTGTGCATGTTTGCTTCAACCAGGAGTCTGTCTTGATTAAAAGTCTTGTAGTTATTAGTATTTTCTGCTTCCCTATCTTGAATTTATACTATAGCTATAAGGCTCTCTATAAGATTAGTGTACCATTATGGAGTTTTTTTCTTTCTTATCTGGTTGATGGCACCTACCTCTCTTCAGTATAATATTTATGTTTTTGTGAAGTTGAAGATCTATCCGATGAACATCCAATTGTATTCTCTAAGCAGCTGTCTATATTGGTTAGTATATTGCTTTTGGTATGGATTTTTCAATCATACCATCTATTTTTTCTATTCTCTATGGTATTATGAGGTTTGGATTGAGTTGGAACTGAAAACTATATTTTCTCAGAAACTATAGAATGTCATGAACAAGATTTTGTTCTGTCTTTAAAAATGGTTGGATGAGATGTATTGTGACTGACTTGCTTAAGCAAAGTATGTTTTGTAGACTCTGCAATCTTATTCTGGAAATCTGACCTAACAATCATTTGTTCTTGATTCTTTCTGTCCAGTTTCTTATGTATAACTGCATCTACCTATTTCATATATGGTCTATTTTGAGTTCACACTAATTGTATAGCAGTGTGTTTGGAAATGTGGTGGTCATTCTACATTTATGTTTATATCTTGTTCAATCTTTCTCATTAGATAGTTGTAGGTGTTTTCTGGAAGTATCATATTATTTAAAAGATTTTCTATGCTTAACATGAGTATATAATTTATTAGGTATCTTATCTATTTATTTATAATTACCTGTTGGCCTATTAGCTTGCTTGTCTTCTGCACTTTTTCAGTGATAAGCTGTTTCTAATATATTTTTTTTGTGAGCTGTTCAACCATACTCCTAGTATTCTTATTGAGATATCTAGTATGCTACCTTTATTGTTTTACTCAAAAGGGTGAAGCTCTGTCAAAGTCTTCTGTTTGGCTGTTAATTATAATAAATTGTAACTTCTGGAAATTAATTTCTATATTATTGTGGTTATAAAATTCAGTGGTTATATCCAGAATCTCTTGTGGTTCTTCTGGAAAGTCTATCACCATATTGTATTATCCATACATGCACTGAATTTGATTTTAATGTGCTTTTTCCTATATAGTTCTTCTATAGACCTCTTTATTCTGATGATATATTTGTACCCCCTCCTTGATATATTGATTTCCGTTAGCAGTAGGACATAGAAGATGCACCATAGAATCAGTAAAATTGTGTCCTACTGATTGATGCTATCCAGTCTTATATTGGTGGATAAGCTCATATGCTGTTATGATCTTGTTCCCTCTGTTTCTGAGTAGAGCTTGTATAATGCTAATTGCTTTTTGTAGTAGCTTAATGTCTTCATCACTTTTACTAGTATTTCTATATTGACTGAGTCATAGCCCTTTACCATATCTTGGCTGAGAATCCATAGCTTCTTCTTCTTTTTCT